AAAAAAGCAGTGTTGTAAAATACAATGCATGCTACATGTGCAGAGTAATAGAAGAAGAAAACAATAATGCATCAGCCACAATCTGCAGGGCATTAATGCTGAATTTAGGATGGAGTCTCATCTACCAGCAGCAGAAGATATTTACCTAGACTGCCTGCCAATTCAATTGGCTGGATTTATTAGTTAGTGTGATCCGGTACTGTACAATAAATCACTCCCTGAACATCTGTTAATGACAATAAATAGATGAGTTAATTAGAAGCTTCTGGAACCTGGGATGTTTATGAATCGTTAAAATAAATATGAATATAGTATGACTTGAAGAATAAATACATTCTGGTGGTGAAAGGAAAATAGGATGTCCAGATCAGTCCTGCTCATTTGTTTTCAGCTACGCTGATACAATGTGAATGGCTTCYCCATCAACTTTATGGTGTTCCTGGAGTTTCTTGAACGTGTTCTGTCAGATACAAGATGAAGAACGTTGGAACAATACCATTATTTATACTCATTGCATCTTTCATAYAGAAATTTCACAAACATCTACTGTATATTTCATACCTCTGTGTGGGCGTAATATCTCACACAGGGAGCAGCCAGAGATACSGGAATGAACAAATAAGAGCCCCAGCAGGTGTTATAATTTACAATTTAAGGGAGAAAAATTGCAGTGTTCCGAGAGAGAATGACAGAAAGCAAAAGTTTTTGTACCCAGAGAGTCAGGATTGAGAGAGAGACTGCACCTTGTGATTTAGGAATGGACTAACTAATGCTGGAAAAGGGGCTTGTGATGTATTTCTGGTAATTATTATGTCTGTGCACTCCAAGCCCCAGATTTGCCTCAGAGAGCTCAGCTGTCTGTGCACGGAGGCAGTCATTTTGTAAAAGTTGCTACAGCTTGTTATAGAAGAGACAGGCTGGACTCCCTCGGGGGGACTTTGTTTTCTGATTTCTTCTCCTGCGGTCGAGAGGGAGAGAATGCAGCTGTGCTTTGTGTATGGATACAGGGAAACAACGAAGCTGTTAACAAGGGTCCAATTAAAAACAACCCAGAGCAGAGAGCTGGAAGGAAGAAAAAAGACAATATATTAGTCTCTGAGATTTCAAGAAATGAAGGAAGAGAGAAAAATATATGAGGGTTCAGGGTGTTAACTGGAGGAAAGAATTGGTCAGCAGTGAAAGGTGAACCAGAAAAGGCTCAGCAGTCAAGGAGAATAGGGAACAGAATAATAAACGATAAACAAGTTTTGGTTTTGGTTTTTTTTTTAAATCATTCTAATTCCCTTAAGAAAACCTCATTATCGTTTATGGCTCAGTTTCTTCTTTTTCAAAACAGCAAACTGGACTGACTAAACCACTCACAGATTCTGTGCTGATAGCCCAAGAAGTCCTGCAGAATGTCAGTCTCATTAAGCCAAACAGTTTTTTTGTCTTCGTGGTTTTTCAGTGTCACACAC